TTGCTAAAGGCGAGGTCCGAGTACTTCATGTTCCTTCCCGATATCAAATTGCAGACTTCTTTACGAAGGGGCTTCCTCGTATATTATTTGAAGATTTTCGAGCCAGTCTTAGCGTCCATGATCCTCCCGATCCTCCCGTTTTGACTGCGGGGGTGTGTTAGAATATATTCTCAATATATTCTGATTTTGTATATATCTCTAATTTAGTTAGGAGTATATTTGATGTATATCCTTTAATTTCCTAGTTTGTTACCTTAATTCTAGGCTAACATCACTATTGTAATTTGTATATAACTATTACGTTGCTAATGACAAAAGGCAGTCAATTGCATTAAAGGCAGTCAATTGCATTCTTTCAATTTTTTATATACAAATTTTGCAAATGTACGACTTAAGATATTATTCATACTTAATTAAAATTATGCATAGACAAACGTAAAATATTAGAAACATTACTAGTACAAAAAATGCAGAGGAAACATAACCTATAAAAGAATAAGTTCATATAAAGGAATATAAATTCAAAAAAGTTAATTTCAGAAAAATGAGGACTACCAAGGTTCATTTAGAACTAAAATAAGATAAAAATATTTTTTATTAATTTTAATAAGTTCAAATAAGTGAAATTTAGGTGATTAATTAGTAATTCTACTAAAAAAATACCACCTTTGTTACCGCTAGAAGTTCTTGGTTAGATTAATCCATTTGAAGTGGGAAACTTTGACCATAGGCATAAAGTCGATCTATTTAAAAAATACATAATCTAGTGAAATCTTAGGACTTGTTTTTTGGCATCATTTTTTATTTTTTATTTTTTGTTTTTTTTAAAACAAAAAACCAATACCAAAGAAACAAGAAAAAGGTGTCTCCACTTTTTGTTGTCAGTTTTCAAAATGATCAGGATTTTAATAAGTTCAACTAATTTTTGATTCATTATACGACATAAATCATATGATTTTGAAAAACAATAAACCAAAAAATAGAAAACCACAATGATACCAAACGACACTGCTAGAAAACAACCGTTTTTCGACGGATAAAATCCGTCGGAATCATTTGAAATTCCATTGGAAATCATCTTTCCGACGGAATTCCGTCGAAATGGTCTATCGCGAAACATTTTGTAGGAAATTCGACTTTTTTCGAGGGATTTTCCGTCGGAAAAACATATTCCAACAGAAATAGATCTGTCGGCGCATGGATTGAATTAAATTGAGAATCCGTCGCAATATTCCGACGAAATTAATTCCGTCGGTATATACCTCTTCCGACGGAATAACCATCGTAATCAAATACGTTTCCAACTGAAATATTCCGTCGTAAGGTCTGTATTCTTTGAGGGGTTAAATTTCCGTCGGAATCTTACGATGCATTTTTCCGTCGCAAAATTCTGACGGAATTGTCCATCTGAAAATCCGTCGCCATATTCCGACGAATTATTTTTCCGTCGCAACAAAAGGAACTTCCGACGGATAATACCATCAGAAATTCCGTCGGAATTTCACCTGCTAATTTAACAAATTAATCGATTTTTTTTTTAATTACCACCATTCGAAACCTATACCTCCTGCACCTAATTCAAGATAAAATTAAATAAATGATTTAATTACGAATATATATATGTGTGTGTGTGTGTGTATGTATATATTAGCCGGGGTACCCTACCCTGCTCCGCCACTACCCGGGTCGTCCTTAGGGTCTCGACTTTGAGGTTGAATGGTGGAACATGTGTCGCTGGGGAAACGACACATAAACTCATCCCACTTCTCCTGGTTTCTCCTCTCAATTGCGGCCATTTGGGCTTGAAATCGGGCTTCCATCTCGACTTTCAATTCACTCCGGATTTCACTGCGAAGAGCCTGCACCCTATGCTCCATCTGATCCTGCATCTGAGAAACAACGGAAGGCGTGTACTGCTGTGAAGACGTGGAAACTCGACCCATTTGGTTGCCATAGTACAGCTCTGCACTTTGGCCAAGTCCCTTCACACGACCCTTCTTGTTGCGACCACCCACAGTCTCCCATTACAACTCATTCGGACTCTTCCGAATCCCTTGAGTGCTTGCTTCTTCAACCTTCTTCTGATAGGCCTCCAAACCCTTAATTATTAGATTCGTTCTGATAATAAAGCTACTATGTTTTCAAACCACGAAATCCACAATAATTTGCTACTATACAACAACTTATATATCATACAAAAAAAATGATGTTTTTTCTTATTCATTTAATATTATTCCATTCGCATTGTAAGTTTGTTTGAATAAGTGTTCTAGTTACAAGTAATTTTTTTGTCTCCAACAATAAACTTTTAATCTAAAGTAAAATGGAATTTTGCTTAACTTCAAATCTTACAATTTTTTGGACCAGTATTTAATTAAGAGTCAGATATTTAGAAGTAATTAGAAGAAGAGGGTGAATATTTGTAGCCCTATTAGATTTTTAGTATTTGAAAAATCGAAGATGCATTTGACTTCATCCAATCCATAAGCAAATGCATCTTCCAAGGACAAGACGGCCGTCAATATTACAAGGTGAGACTCTTCACCACTTACTCGTATTAGTCATATATTAAGTCTTGCCATAAAATTGATATTGAAGTCACTTAAAATTTGGAATCCAGACTAGACCATAAGTAGGAAAACAATGGGGCGAACACTCATTAAGGACGGTGACCACAGTACGAGTAGTTAGACTAGTACCAGTGAGTATTCTTATTCTAAACTGGAGGCCTTATTCCAATTTTGTATAGTCGTAATTTGACAACTCTCAATCATCCTTGTGTTTTTTATTTTTTTAATTGTCGAATTCGTCTAAAGAAAAAAAATATGTTACACACCACGTTGGACAAATTGACTAATTATTTTTTATTATTCTTGTATGGCTGTATTTTTCTACTCTGAAATATTATACACACAAAGTCACCAATGAGAGGAATTTTATTATTTCATTTCAGTTATCTTTATGTTTATTATTATGATGTCACATAGCAAAGCTTGATCAAACTAACGAACAAAATAAGTCACACTTCTACTATATCCGCACACCCTTATGCCTTACCTCCACTCGGCATTCCCCAAAATTTAAAATATGAAGCCGACCATGTTCTATACAACATTACATCATCATGAAAGGCGTGAATTAATTAAGATGTACTCGTATTAAATTTATCCTTACCTTAGCTTGATTTTACTTATATTTGGTTTAATAAGTTCTGAATTTCTAATAAGTTAAAGAAAAGATAAATTATAAATTAATAAGTTCAGATAAGATGCAGGTTATGTACATAAAGGTTGTTATATACGTTCGGGTGTACGGTACATCCAAGGTATTTTGTACTTATTTTAATAATTAAATTAAAGAATAATTATTGCTCATTTAATCATCAAATGAGCAAAAATTTTAATATATAGGTACACATTTCGTATAGTATAAGGTTTCACAAGCTCTAATACGATGTGATGAAGCCTTGTATAAGTTCCAATAAAAAATAATAAGATAAGATTAAGTTGTATAAGGAAAGACAATACAAGTCCAATACTTCGTATAAGATTTGATAAGTTCATAATAACGCAAAATAAGGGCTAATTAATACATACAAATAAGATACATTATAGAGTTAATAAGATAATATAAGTGAAATTTAGTTAAGAAAATATTACCTAAATACACATGTGAGATTCATTAGATTAATCTGGATGTGTAGTTTAATTATTTATTTTTGTTACACAAAGTACATCTATTTTTTTCCTTTGTTGATATTGTGCAAATAATAAGCAAGAACAACATTTGAAGATTTTGTGGGAGTAAAGCCTTGCCAAACAAGGATATATAGTATATACAATACACGGAGTAATACTTTGGAGTTTCAGTTTACATAAGAATGAAATGTGGTGGATTTTTTTTCTTTCTTTATTTATAAAAACTTAAGCAACAGAACACACAAGTCACATAACTAGCACTTGTCACACCTTTTTCCAATCAAAATTTAAACATTTTGTTTATATTTATAATTCAACAGCTTGGCTTAATCCTTAATGTCAACTGGTTTTGGCATTTCACCTAATACTCATTAGCATGCCGTTTTGTCATTTAAAACTACAAAAAGTATTCCTAATTTTAACTTATAAGTTTCAAAAACAATAACTCTCCGTATGTATAACGCATGGATATTTTAAGTTTGCTACTATTTATAAATGTTAAAAAGAGTTTGTTATCATAATTATTACGTCATTGAAAGCAGATCTAATCTTACAAACATAGTATATTTATGCGACTTTCTAACACAATGCATCAATTTAATGGTGTTTGGTATGGAGCTAGGTAGCTTTAAGAGTTCGTAGCATCATATGCACACGCCGCCTATTTTGTATGCAGTAATACGTACACGTCTTTATAATCTCATTTATACTCCATATTTTCTTTTTATTTCAAAAATCAAACTAATTTATAAACAGAATTTGTGAAATAGGAGAAGTATTAGAAAGATCAAGTATGTTGCACAAAGCAAAAAGAAACAAACTTTTCTAATTATGAGTAGGAAATAATGGTTACTTTAAGTGACAAGATTTATGACCAATATGATTTAGATGAGAGAAAACTAGAAAAGTTAGCAAAGATATTTTCAATTTTCAGTTCATGAAAACAACTACTTTAGTACAATCTTGTAACACTCTTGTTTTAATAATTCAGCTGTTCCTCGTGGAAAGCAAGGGCTCACCAAATAGTATGGTGGCAAAGATATTTCCATAACCAACTCATAAATATGAAAAAGACGCTGCCCATAATGACTATACTTTTTAAAAAATATAATCTCGAAAATCAAAATCTTTACTTCCATAGATGCTAATTGTGTAGTTTGGTTGAACATGAAAAGTACGAAATACTTTAATTTATTTATGAGTATCGTAAATAATAATGTCAAACCTCCCTCGGAGAATTCGGCTTGTCTAAGAGATTACGTAAACAATTTCCTTAGCTTGGTATAGACTACAAAGTAGAACTTCCGTAAATGTCACATTACATTTCTTGAAGTTTATTGATAAGGTATGAACCTTGCAATCCGAAGTTGCACACTAAATTAGTAAATTTCCTATACATCATTACACAAATTCTCAAATAATTTCCTATAGATCATTACACAAATTCTAAAATCATAATAAAATTATGATTGATTGTTAAAGCAAACCAATACTAATCTCTCTCAATCAATTTAGAAGGCCAAATAAAATTAAAGAGAAAATATTCTATTCAACCTCTAAATTCTAAACTTACAAAATATTCACAACTCTAAGAAAAATCAAAAAACTCGTACTACCATATACTTGTAATATATGATACATATCTACCAAAATCATACTACAAACTTTTTATATACATAAAACACAGGGTAAAAATATATAATGCACCCGCCATGATTATTATTATTGATCTTTAAGCTTTTCCGACTCTATGCCGCCCTCGCTGCTGCCACCGTCGCCGCCATTATTCGTAATCTTGCTCTTATTGAGGTATCTCTTGGCATAAAAATTCAAGAAAAGGGATAAAATCGCGGTGTTTAAGACCGAATTAAATCCCCAAGCACCAATCCCATTACACCCGCCTTTCAAAAGATGCATTAGAAGAACACCGACATGACAGATCAAATTACACCCAAGAAGAACAATCTGGCAATTCAAAACAAAGGGAAAACAAGCACTAGGCAATCCAATCGCAGTCCAAAATCGATACCCATAAACAATCGACGAAACAAGGGTGGTAGAAATGATCGCCAAAACCTGAAACGATTGCGAGAACTCGAGCCATAAGAACGAGGAGAAGATTAGAATGGAGTGGTTGAGAAGGTGGTGCGTCGGAAGTTTGCGACGGCGGAGGAGAGAGAAAAAGGTGCGGAAGAGGTCGAGAAAGCGAGAGAGGTAGAAGACGTACGACCAGAAGAAAACCCGGCCCGAAGGTCGGGTTCCGAGGGGAAAGCAAAGGAGCCATTGAAAGGGGGTTTTACTCCGGCGCCAGAACCACCGTGTGTCTCGGATCTCGGCGGCGGCGGAGAGGAAGATGCCGGAGAAGATGGTGAAGGAGATTAAGGCCATTGAGAGAGAATGGAAGGCGGGTATTGGGCCGAGAGAGATGGGTTTACGGCGAGGGAAAAGGAGGCAAAGGAGGAGATGAAGGAAGAGAGAGAGAATGAGGTAGAGAGAGATTGAGGTGAAGAGGAATGACCATGTTGACCCCCATGATTGCGAGGGGCTCCATCGGAAGTTGACGACTGATGGATGTTCGGAAAGGTAGTGTTTGGGTCCAATTTAGTCAAAATTGGGCCTGAGCACTAAATGATCCAATTAAAAGCCCAAGGTCAAGGTTCAACTCTCCAATTGCTCAAAAGTCAAAAGTCAGCCCACAAAGTAAGCCAATTGGGCTAAAGCCCAACCTCTCCAAATATGATGAGGTATAAAAGCCCTCATATTAACACATTCAAGAGGACATCTCATAACATCACATACGAGATCAACGAGATCAGACACAACAACAGACACAACATCACATGCATTATCTCATACACGGATTATTCCAACTCATATGCTCATTCTTGCATTGAGAAATACTCCACAAAAGCCTCAAGCTACAAACTCTCTTGCATAGTGTCTTCCTTTTTACACATTGTACTGACTTTAGCATCGGAGGGGCCTTCCTCGGAAACACCCCCGAGGCTAGTTTACGTGTGTTCACTGTGCAGGAAACCTTCGGCCCAACACAGCTTGGATCGAATCCAGTCTTCTCCATTTTAGTGGACCTTCGGCAAGGTCCCATTGTTTTCAACCGAAACAATTTGGCGCCGTCTGTGGGGAAGACTTTCAAAAATCTTTAAGCCAAATTCCTAACCAAGATCATCTTGCAATTATCTTAGCAGCCATGGCTAAGAACCGCAAGAGCAAAAGCCTCCGTCAAGGAGCGGGCGAAAAGCCTAAAACCCCTACACCATCGCCCTCGCCGGACCGGAACTCTCCCAAGGGTGCCGGCTCGGGGGAGGATCACACAAGGAGGATTCCCTATCTCCTATAATGCATGACTCTCAATATAGGCCGGACCACTCTCGGTCTAGCAGGGGTCAGTCTGATCATAGGACATATTCAGTGTCCCAAAGCCAACCATCGGCTGCACGGCCTCATTACCACACTCGGCCGGGGACCCCTTTGACGGGGCCCAGTTCGGAAGAGGTGGCAAGAGCGCTGGCAGTACTCATGGAGGCAATGAGGGCACAGAATATGCCACCGCCTCGTGATCGAACTCCTCCGCATACCCGGCATCAGCGGAGGAAGTTAGACCATGACGGTGGGAAGCTTCCTTCCTTCCGGGAACTGGAAGAGTGGGAGGAGGATTCTTGGAAAAATGAAAAACAGAGGAAGAAGAACTCTCAATTATTTAAAGGATCCTCATCCTCAAGACCAGCAGCGCATAAGAGCAGCAGCTCAGCTTCTCGGCCAGAATCTGCTCGCCGGGAACCTGAGACTGCTCGCAGAAGCGTCCTTGACCGACTCGGCGGCCAGGAACCGAGCGTGCGTAGTCGCCTCACGTTCCCTGCAGCCGAGGCCCAGACTTCCCAGCCAGGGACGAAAACCACTCCTACCTCTCTGAGAGGGCGGAGCGCGGTCCCTTCGGCCAGGAACAAGGGCAAGGCCATTATGCTTCCCGCTAGTTCACCATTCGAGCAATGGATACTAGAAGAGCGCGTACCCACGGTTAAAATACCGTCGCATATCACATATGACGGGACCACGGATCCGAAGGACCACGTGGCCTCGTATGAGACTCATATGCATCTTTGCCCCAGATCCGAGGCGACTTGGTGCAAATATTTCCCAACCACTCTCAAGGGGGTCGCGCAAGCGTGGATCTCCAAGGGAGTAAGGCAAGGCTCCATAACAGGTTGGGATGATCTGTCCTCCAAGTTCAGAAGCAAGTTTTCCACGGCAAACCGCCGAGAGAAGACTACCGCAGAGCTCATGGGTCTGCAACAGGGGGAAACTGAAAGCCTCCGAGACTACCTGACCCGTTTCAGTAACGAGTCATCAAGCGTCTCTCAGCTGGACCAGGGGCTAGCTGTTTTTGCAATGCAGAATGGCCTTCAGCCAGGAAAATTCCTAGACTTCATGGTCATGCATACCCCGCAGACCTTGGAGGAAGCTCTTAGTGCTTCGGATAAGTTCATCCGAGCCGAAGAATGGAATAAAGCAAAAACCCAACCTCAATCCGGGGGAGGGAAACAGAGGCAAATACCCTTGTCTGAAGGCCAAGGCCATAAGGCAAAGGGAAAATCAAAGGCCTCGGAGCCATCTTCGGCCAGCGACCTAAAGAAGGACAGGTTTGCCTCATACACAGGCAGATACGAGTCCTACACTCCGCTCTCTCTTCCACGCGCCAAAATTTACAGTGTGACGAAGGAGGAGCAGAGTTACCGAAAGCCGAGACCACTCCCAGAGTGGTATCAGCGAAAAAATAAAAATCAGTGGTGTGAGTTCCACGAGTCTTCGGGCCACAACACTGAAGAGTGTATCCAGCTGAAGGACCAGATAGAAGACATGGTCCGGAAGGGATACTTGAAAAAATACATCGCGGATCACCGCGAGAAAAAAGAATCCGAAAGGTTAGCAAAGGACCCTCGGCAGGACCTTAATTTCCCTCGGAAAAACAGTAAAAAACCGGAGGGGAAATTCCCTCCGATCAATGTTATCTCGGGAGGAATATACTCTCGGAGGGAGCACAAGCGTCACCTTAGAGCTCTGACTCACCAGGTGAACAACGCTGACATTCAATCTCCCCAGTCGCCGGTGCCGAACATGACGTTCACAGCCGCCGACTGCCGGGGGATTACGTTCCCTCACGAGGATCCGTTGGTGATCATCGCCACGGTGGCCAACCACGACGTCAGTAAGGTCCTTGTTGACGGTGGCAGCGGAGCAAACATTCTGTTCCGAAAGGCCTACAACCAAATTAAGCTGAAGCCCAAGCACCTTACGCCGGTACCCTATCCGGTATCCGGATTCAATGGGGCTTCAACTTATCCAGATGGGAAGGTGACACTTCCTGTCACCATCGGTTGCGATGAGGCAGCCCGGAACGTCATGATTGAGTTTTTGGTCATCGACGCTCCTTCAGTGTACAACGTGATTTTGGGGAGACCCATAATTCACGAGATCCAAGGGGTCGTCTCAACTTATCATCAGCTGATGATTTACGTCTCAGACGCCGGCTTCCCCGAAAGGATACAGGGCAACCAAAAGGACGCCCGAAGGTGCAACTACCTCAAGCCATCCAGTAGTCGCCCAGATGACGACAGGGATGAGGAGGAAAAAGAAAGAGAGCCAAGCACAAAAAAGCCGAAAGGCCTAAGTGCTTCGGCCCAAGGATCAGTGCCCAGAGAAAAAGGTCCCGAAAGGGAAAAGGTTGACTCTTCATCTGAGCCGAAAGACTCAGAGAGCCAGCCGAAGAACACAAAGACTGGGACACCTGCTGACATTGGCAGCAGACCAGATTCTGAAGAGTCCAGTCCATCAGCAATGGACATGGACCAACAGACTGAAACAGCAGAGTTGGCCGAAGGAGATGCTGAGAAATGTGTAACAATCGGGATGGACCTTGATCCTAACACCCGTTGTGAACTTATTCAGCTCCTGCGGGATAACAGAGATGTGTTTGCTTTCTCGGCAGCTGATATGCCCGGGATAAGTTCAGACCTCATCTCCCATAACTGAAGGGTCCATGCAAGGCCTCTCAAAATTGGGGATCTTGTCCTTCGGAATGCTGCTGCAGTTCAGAAAGGCCGAATCCATGGGAAGCTCTCAGCTACATGGGAGGGACCTTATGAAATTTATGATGAGCTTCAGCCAGGGACATACCGACTTCGGCAGTTGGATGGAACTGAGTTGAAGAATCACTGGAATGCTGATGTACTGAAAAAATACCATGTGTAAACCCTTCGGGGCAGAACAATCTTTGTAAGTACATTTTGAACTAATGACAGGCCTTGGAGCCACCATTTATATAAAATTTACAACTGTTTATCCTTTCAAAATTTTCTTTGTTCTATCTACTCTTTGAGGGTTTTTTATTCAGCCTCGTCTGAAGCCTTCGCCTTCGGGTAACTGGGTTTCAGATTGCTGACAAAACCTGTCTTTTTAAAGAACACCGGTCTTTCAGCTGAAGTCAAACTTCAGTAAGACTTGTTCTCCAAAGACATGAGTCCATGGACAATTCTGGGATATTGCCTTAACTGAGCCTTGTATCCCAGAGAGCCATTATCCGAAACATTGCCTTAAGTTGGCCCTGTGTTTCGGGTATCCATTTTTCAAAGATAGCCAGAAAATCAAGGATAACAGCAACAGTTGAAAATTTTTAAATCAGCCTCGTCTGAAACCTTCGCCTTCGGGTAACTGGGTTTCAGATGGCTTACAAAACTCATGTCTTTTTAAAGAACACTGGTCTTTCAGCTGAAGCCAAACTTCAGTAAGACTTGTTCTCCAAAGACATGAGTCCATGGACAATTCTGGGATATTGCCTTAACCGAGCCTTGTATCCCAGAGAGCCATTATCCGAAACATTGCCTTAAGTTGGCCCTGTGTTTCGGGTATCCATTTTTCAAAGATAGACAGAAAATCAAGGATAACAGCCTTTTTAAATCAGCCTCGTCTGAAACCTTCGCCTTCGGGTAACTGGGTTTCAGATGGCTTACAAAACTCAGTCTTTTTAAAGAACACTGGTCTTTCAGCTGAAATCAAACATCAGTAAGACCTGTTCTCCAAAGACATGAGTCCATGGACAGTTCTGGGATATTGCCTTAACTGAGCCTTGTATCCCAGAGAGCCATTATCCGAAACATTGCCTTAAGTTGGCCCTGTGTTTCGGATATGCGTCTTCTTTAAGAACGCTGGTCTTTCAGCTGAAGTCAAATTTCAGTAAGACTTGTTCTAAAGAGGTTAGTCCCAGAAAGCTAATATCCCAAGCATTGCCTTCAGTTGGCCCTGTGTTTCGGATATCCAACTTTCAGACAATCTTCAGTAAGACTTGTATCCCAGAAGCATTGCCTTCAGTTGGCCCTGTGTTTCGGATATCCAACTTTCAGACAGTCAATCTTCAGTAAGACTTGTATCCCAGAAGCATTGCCTTAAGTTGGCCCTGTGTTTCGGATATCTATTTTGAAGAAGTTCAGAAATTGCTTATTCAACTAAAGTCATACTTCAATTTCTGTGGGGGCAAGAAGCACGCAGTGCAGCTATGTTCGGCAGAGTTGAAGAAAAGAAACAGTAAAGCATTCAAAAATAAAGCAACTGAAAAAAAAAAAAAAATTTTGAGCTACAAGTTCAATAATTCAGTATCGGCAGCCGCCCACAAGCGGAAAATAACAGCTGCCGAAATACGTACATAAGCAAAAAAATAAAACTGCTGTACGACAAGGCAAGCTGAAGCAAAAAACAAGGCAAAAAACTCAGAAAGCGGCAAGTCTAAAGTTAAGCACATGATGAACCGCAAGATTCTGAAGACGACTGCCCGAGTTCCTATGCTTCAGCCGGGGGATCAGACTGATCAGCGTTGAGTCCCATGGTGGCCTCAGCCCCAGCAGCCGAAGAGGCGGGCTTTGCATTTTGCCGAGCCTCCCTTTCCCTCTGCTCAGCTTCCAACTCCAGTCTTTCAGCTTCCTCTTCGGCTTCCTCAGCCTTAAGAATTTCAGCTTCAGCTGGAGTTGCATACTTCATGTGAGGGTCTTCGGGATTCTGGACCCACTCAGCACATTTAGACCAGTCCAGCTTCGGCTCAGCATGAAGGCAGAGTCTTCGGCATACTCGGAATCCGTTTCTGAAACCCATCTCATATTCCTCTTGGGTATAGACACGGACCTTGAGTGAAGCCTCAGCATCAGCCAGCTTCTTCTGGGTCTCCTCCAAGTCTTCCTTGGATTTCTTCAGCTCATCAGCGACCTTGGAGGAGGAACCCTTCAGCTCACTCAGCTCTTGTTGAATTTGGAAAGCCTTTGTCTGAGCTTGGGCCACTTCAACTTTCTGGATCAGCAGTTGATCCTCAGCCTCTTGGAATTTAGCTCTTTGAGCTTCAGCAGCAGCAGCAGCCTCTGAGAGTTGGACGTCTTTGGCCAGGAGCAACTCTTCAGCAGCCATTCGGCTGGCTTCAAGAGCCTCTAGACGCTGCTGCACTTCAGCTTGTGCAGCAGTTCCTTCTTGAATTCGGCTCTCAATAGCAGCCTTGAATTTGGAGACGTCCACTCCCATATGCTCCTGGAGGAATTTTTCCCCTTCCATCAGTGGGGGAAAAACCTCCATCTCCATAGCATCGCAGAAGGTTTTCAGAGCTTCGGCAGCTTTTTTACCGTACTCCTCAACCTCCTGCTGCTTCTCTTCAGCTGCTGCTTGCTTCAGCTTAGCAAGCTTAACTTCCTCTTCAGCCACCTTCCTTTCGTGCACAGCAGCGTCTACCCTATCTTGTAGGGTATCAATCAGCTCTACAGTGAGAGTCTGATTGTGCACGAACTGAAAACAGGAAGACAAAAAAAAAATAAGTAATAAAAAAAAAAATAGAGCTGAATTTCGGAGGAAATGAAGGAAAATTACCTGCATCATCAGCAGTTGGTTAGACCTGGCTGGGTCAGGAACTGATCTACTGGATTCGCCCATCCCAGCAGTGGCCTTCAGCGACCAGATCCTTGCCCTGTCTACTTCGGACATGCCAGCAAAACTGCCGAAGTAGGCTTCAGCTCCTTCTCGGTTTTGACCCCATATGAGGTCCCAAATGTGATCTGGGATTGGAATTCGGGGGGCCGAGAAACCCATTTCTCCAGAATGCAGAGTCTGGAAAGAAGGGAAGGACGACGATGGAGCTTGATTAGCCTTGGTTGTCTCAGCATCGTCCTTCTCAGAGGAGTCAAGTACTATGACCTCCTCTTCTTCAGGGGTGAGGACGAAAGCCTCAACCTCTCTGGCGATATCTGCCGTGAAGCCCTCAGCACTGGACATCACGGCATCTTTATTTTCGTGCTCAGCAGCACTCTCCTTGATTTCTTCTTGGACCCCTCCCTTAGGTTCGGGAGTTCTCTGATCCACCTCCATCTCAGGAGGTGGCGGAGGGGTCTTTTGAGGAGATTGGGGTGTTGGCTGGGGAACCCTCGGCGATCCATTGCCTTCCTCAGGTTCCCTTATTGCGACGCCGATGGTCATCGGCCTCTGCTGAAAGTCATGAGGGCCGATGATGGCCATCCTTCGGCGCCTTTTCAGAAGGGGCTGCTCGTCCATATCTGAGTCTGAAGACTCTTGTATTTGATCTTCGGGACGAACAGGAGCTTTGCCTTCTCTGTGTCTGTTACTCTCTTCAGACTGTAACAGACAGGGGGGAAGAAGAGTGTGAGTAAAAAAAAAAAAAAAAAAAAAAAAAAAAAAAAAAGAAGAAAAGAAAAAAGTTGTCTGAAAGCTCACCGAGGTTTTCAGCAAAGCCTCGTCTTCTTCAGCTGCTCTAGCTGCAGCTTCGGCTTCAGCAGCTCTGGAGGACCCTTCTCCTCCTTCACAAGCCTCAAGTACCCGTGCAACCTCTTCGGCTGTGCGGGCAGCTTCAGCTTCTTCGTTCAGCAGCTGAAACCAAGGGTCTCTCTTCTTCCACCAAGGCTTCTGCCTCTGATACAGAGCAACAGCCTCAATTTGGAAGTGGGAAGAGTCCAGATGAACTTCCCTATGCCTCGGCTCAGTGATAGACGGGGCCCGTTCAGTTACAACTCGCTCTCGGTTAACACCAAGACGAGCGTAGTTAATACCAACGTTGGTCTCGTCCCGCTCTGAAAAAAGGAAAGGGAAAAAGTTTAGCTCAGATATGTTGGCACAGCATAAAAAAGCAAAGCGAGAGAAGAAAAAGAGGTAGTTAAAAAGCCTCGGCCCCAGCCGAAAAAGCTTACCATCCTTAAACTTTCGGCTGAGGCCAACAGCTGCTAGCATATTCTCTTGGAAAACGTAATGCGTATCGGGGAGCCAAGTCTCCGGGATATGCTGCATTCGACCACTTCCCCCCGGGTTCGGCAGCTTGCCGAAGATATGTTGCTGATCCAGGTTCGGATCCGCCCCGTTATCTGCGGGGGGACCTAGACTTCCCATTTCGGGATCAGGCTCAGCTAAGTACCGGGGAGCGCTGAAGACACAAGGGTGGCCCGGATCTATGGGTGCCCTAACCCAAATCCATTGACCTCTCCAGTCCTTGTCTGAAGAGTCATTTGGCCACATGGTCAAATATTGGGGCCGGGACTCAATCCGATACCACCCAGAACCATGGCTTCCGTGCCCACTCTGAATATTTGGCACTAGCCGATGGAGCTTTCTGAAGCAGTGCAGGTTCGGCACGTATCTGAAGAACTTGCAGACCCATAAGTATGTCATCACCCTTCGGATGCTGGTGGGGGTTAGCTGACATAGGGAAATGTTGTAATGGATCAGCAAGTCTCGGACGAAAACGTCCAAAGGGAACCTCAGCCCATACTGAAGCTGTCTCGTGTACACCCCCACATACCCCGGGGGTGGACGATGGATTCTATCGGATGCTGAGGGCATTCGGCACCAATATCCATCAGCTTCAAAAATGCCGTAGTGCAACTCAATTTGCTCAGCAAATCGATATTGATCGGCGTTCTCTACCCACCATGAGTAGGGGCGGTTCTTTATCATGGCCGAAGCGACTTCGGCATTCTCCCACTCTGAAAACCCAGGGAGGATATCCCAAAGGACAGCGGGAATTTCATCGTCCCGTCCAGAAGCACTCGGCTCATCCGTTCTTTGAGGAGGAGCCGAGGAAAGGGGAGTCGCCCTAATCCCATCAGCAGGGTCAGACTCCGGCCTTCGACCATTCCAGGTCCCAATCCTATTCCTAGGATCGGGAATCGGCCTTGCTCTTCTTGGAGCACGGGCTCTACCTCTAACTCCTCTTGCCATGGACTATTTCGAAGAGAAAAGTCGAAAGAAGAGGGGAAGGAGTTCGAATTCGAAGAAAAATAAACTGAAATCAAAGGAATTTACCTTAATCTGAAGCGAAATTTGCCGATTCACGAGTTCGTAGTGGCAAGTCTCAGTTTCTAAGCTCAATGCTCGGGGGAATTTGCGAAGTTTTGATACGGATTCTCGGTTTCTCTCTCGAAGAATTCTGGGTTTGTGTTGGTGAATAAGTGAGGAGAATGACGTGCCTCTGTTTATATCTCCAGGTACGGGATACGAAGAGTCTGTGCTTTAATTTCTCTTAAGTACCCACTAAGTAACCATTAAACACATGTCTTGTGATTAAACCGCCCGTTATCCGTCCAACTTCCGCAAATCATTAACCGTTGTTATCTCATTAATTACGGTTTAAATTCAAATTTTTGGATCAATTAAATCATTTACTTCCCTCCTTTTCTGAGTTAAATCAAACCCGACCCGTCATTCTTCCGAATCGGGTCTGGGGGGCAAGTTGTTTGGGTCCAATTTAGTCAAAATTGGGCCTGAGCACTAAATGATCCAATTAAAAGCCCAAGGTCAAGGTTCAACTCTCCAATTGCTCAAAAGTCAAAAGTCAGCCCACAAAGTAAGCCAATTGGGCTAAAGCCCAACCTCTCCAAATATGATGAGGTATAAAAGCCCTCATATTAACACATTCAAGAGGACATCTCATAACATCACATACGAGATCAACGAGATCAGACACAACAACAGACACAACATCACATGCATTATCTCATACACGGATTATTCCAACTCATATGCTCATTCTTGCATTGAGAAATACTCCACAAAAGCCTCAAGCTACAAACTCTCTTGCATAGTGTCTTCCTTTTTACACATTGTACTGACTTTAGCATCGGAGGGGCCTTCCTCGGAAACACCCCCGAGGCTAGTTTACGTGTGTTCACTGTGCAGGAAACCTTCGGCCCAACACAGCTTGGATCGAATCCAGTCTTCTCCATTTTAGTGGACCTTCGGCAAGGTCCCATTGTTTTCAACCGAAACAGGTAGTATGTTAGGTATTGGATCGGTTTCCGTATCGGGATGGTTATCGCCGCCATTGCAGGACGGATCAAGGATATGATATTCGTTGTTTTACAGGTGATCCTTTGGACAAATAATAAAATCAAGGATCAATATATGAGTGAGATCATTTAAAATAGGAAGGGATCATTCATCCCATATTTTTGTTTGTCACAAATGATTTGGTTTTGGAAAGAGAGTGCGATTGTGCGAGGAGGAGAGAGAAAAGAGGAGGGGAAGACGAGGAGGAGAGATGTAAGATTAGAATATATAGTGTTTGGGTCCAATTTAGTCAAAATTGGGCCTGAGCACTAAATGATCCAATTAAAAGCCCAAGGTCAAGGTTCAACTCTCCAATTGCTCAAAAGTCAAAAGTCAGCCCACAAAGTAAGCCAATTGGGCTAAAGCCCAACCTCTCCAAATATGATGAGGTATAAAAGCCCTCATATTAACACATTCAAGAAGACATCTCACAACAACACATGCATTATCTCATACACGGATTATTCCAACTCATATGCTCATTCTTGCATTGAGAAATACTCCACAAAAGCCTCAAGCTACAAACTCTCTTGCATAGTGTCTTCCTTTTTACACATTGTACTGACTTTAGCATCGGAGGGGCCTTCCTCGGAAACACCCCCGAGGCTAGTTTACGTGTGTTCACTGTGCAGGAAACCTTCGGCCCAACACAGCTTGGATCGAATCCAGTCTTCTCCATTTTAGTGGACCTTCGGCAAGGTCCCATTGTTTTCAACCGAAACAATTTGGCGCCGTCTGTGGGGAAGACTTTCAAAAATCTTTAAGCCAAATTCCTAACCAAGATCATCTTGCAATTATCTTAGCAGCCATGGCTAAGAACCGCAAGAGCAAAAGCCTCCGTCAAGGAGCGGGCGAAAAGCCTAAAACCCCTACACCATCGCCCTCGCCGGACCGGAACTCTCCCAAGGGTGCCGGCTCGGGGGGAGGATCACACAAGGAGGATTCCCTATCTCCTATAATGCATGACTCTCAATATAGGCCGGACCACTCTCGGTCTAGCAGGGGTCAGTCTGATCATAGGACATATTCAGTGTCCCAAAGCCAACCATCGGCTGCACGGCCTCATTACCACACTCGGCCGGGGACCCCTTTGACGGGGCCCAGTTCGGAAGAGGTGGCAAGAGCGCTGGCAGTACTCATGGAGGCAATGAGGGCACAGAATATGCCACCGCCTCGTGATCGAACTCCTCCGCATACCCGGCATCAGCGGAGGAAGTTAGACCATGACGGTGGGAAGCTTCCTTCCTTCCGGGAACTGGAAGAGTGGGAGGAGGATTCTTGGAAAAATGAAAAACAGAGGAAGAAGAACTCTCAATTATTTAAAGGATCCTCATCCTCAAGACCAGCAGCGCATAAGAGCAGCAGCTCAGCTTCTCGGCCAGAATCTGCTCGCCGGGAACCTGAGACTGCTCGCAGAAGCGTCCTTGACCGACTCGGCGGCCAGGAACCGAGCGTGCGTAGTCGCCTCACGTTCCCTGCAGCCGAGGCCCAGACTTCCCAGCCAGGGACGAAAACCACTCCTACCTCTCTGAGAGGGCGGAGCGCGGTCCCTTCGGCCAGGAACAAGGGCAAGGCCATTATGCTTCCCGCTAGTTCACCATTCGAGCAATGGATACTAGAAGAGCGCGTACCCACGGTTAAAATACCGTCGCATATCACATATGACGGGACCACGGATCCGAAGGACCACGTGGCCTCGTATGAGACTCATATGCATCTTTGCCCCAGATCCGAGGCGACTTGGTGCAAATATTTCCCAACCACTCTCAAGGGGGTCGCGCAAGCGTGGATCTCCAAGGGAGTAAGGCAAGGCTCCATAACAGGTTGGGATGATCTGTCCTCCAAGTTCAGAAGCAAGTTTTCCACGGCAAACCGCCGAGAGAAGACTACCGCAGAGCTCATGGGTCTGCAACAGGGGGAAACTGAAAGCCTCCGAGACTACCTGACCCGTTTCAGTAACGAGTCATCAAGCGTCTCTCAGCTGGACCAGGGGCTAGCTGTTTTTGCAATGCAGAATGGCCTTCAGCCAGGAAAATTCCTAGACTTCATGGTCATGCATACCCCGCAGACCTTGGAGGAAGCTCTTAGTGCTTCGGATAAGTTCATCCGAGCCGAAGAATGGAATAAAGCAAAAACCCAACCTCAATCCGGGGGAGGGAAACAGAGGCAAATACCCTTGTCTGAAGGCCAAGGCCATAAGGCAAAGGGAAAATCAAAGGCCTCGGAGCCATCTTCGGCCAGCGACCTAAAGAAGGACAGGTTTGCCTCATACACAGGCAGATACGAGTCCTACACTCCGCTCTCTCTTCCACGCGCCAAAATTTACAGTGTGACGAAGGAGGAGCAGAGTTACCGAAAGCCGAGACCACTCCCAGAGTGGTATCAGCGAAAAAATAAAAATCAGTGGTGTGAGTTCCACGAGTCTTCGGGCCACAACACTGAAGAGTGTATCCAGCTGAAGGACCAGATAGAAGACATGGTCCGGAAGGGATACTTGAAAAAATACATCGCGGATCACCGCGAGAAAAAAGAATCCGAAAGGTTAGCAAAGGACCCTCGGCAGGACCTAAATTTCCCTCGGAAAAACAGTAAAAAACCGGAGGGGAAATTCCCTCCGATCAATGTTATCTCGGGAGGAATATACTCTCGGAGGGAGCACAAGCGTCACCTTAGAGCTCTGACTCACCAGGTGAACAACGCTGACATTCAATCTCCCCAGTCGCCGGTGCCGAACATGACGTTCACAGCCGCCGACTGCCGGGGGATTACGTTCCCTCACGAGGATCCGTTGGTGATCATCGCCACGGTGGCCAACCACGACGTCAGTAAGGTCCTTGTTGACGGTGGCAGCGGAGCAAACATTCTGTTCCGAAAGGCCTACAACCAAATTAAGCTGAAGCCCAAGCACCTTACGCCGGTACCCTATCCGGTATCCGGATTCAATGGGGCTTCAACTTATCCAGATGGGAAGGTGACACTTCCTGTCACCATCGGTTGCGATGAGGCAGCCCGGAACGTCATGATTGAGTTTTTGGTCATCGACGCTCCTTCAGTGTACAACGTGATTTTGGGGAGACCCATAATTCACGAGATCCAAGGGGTCGTCTCAACTTATCATCAGCTGATGATTTACGTCTCAGACGCCGGCTTCCCCGAAAGGATACAGGGCAACCAAAAGGACGCCCGAAGGTGCAACTACCTCAAGCCATCCAGTAGTCGCCCAGATGACGACAGGGATGAGGAGGAAAAAGAAAGAGAGCCAAGCACAAAAAAGCCGAAAGGCCTAAGTGCTTCGGCCCAAGGATCAGTGCCCAGAGAAAAAGGTCCCGAAAGGGAAAAGGTTGACTCTTCATCTGAGCCGAAAGACTCAGAGAGCCAGCCGAAGAACACAAAGACTGGGACACCTGCTGACATTGGCAGCAGACCAGATTCTGAAGAGTCCAGTCCATCAGCAATGGACATGGACCAACAGACTGAAACAGCAGAGTTGGCCGAAGGAGATGCTGAGAAATGTGTAACAATCGGGATGGACCTTGATCCTAACACCCGTTGTGAACTTATTCAGCTCCTGCGGGATAACAGAGATGTGTTTGCTTTCTCGGCAGCTGATATGCCCGGGATAAGTTCAGACCTCATCTCCCATAACCGAAGGGTCCATGCAAGGCCTCTCAAAATTGGGGATCTTGTCCTTCGGAATGCTGCTGCAGTTCAGAAAGGCCGAATCCATGGGAAGCTCTCAGCTACATGGGAGGGACCTTATGAAATTTATGATGAGCTTCAGCCAGGGACATACCGACTTCGGCAGTTGGATGGAACTGAGTTGAAGAATCACTGGAATGCTGATGTACTGAAAAAATACCATGTGTAAACCCTTCGGGGCAGAACAATCTTTGTAAGTACATTTTGAACTAATGACAGGCCTTGGAGCCGCCATTTATATAAAATTTACAACTGTTTATCCTTTCAAAATTTTCTTTGTTCTATCTACTCTTTGAGGGTTTTTTATTCAGCCTCGTCTGAAGCCTTCGCCTTCGGGTAACTGGGTTTCAGATTGCTGACAAAACCTGTCTTTTTAAAGAACACCGGTCTTTCAGCTGAAGTCAAACTTCAGTAAGACTTGTTCTCCAAAGACATGAGTCCATGGACAATTCTGGGATATTGCCTTAACTGAGCCCTGTATCCCAGAGAGCCATTATCCGAAACATTGCCTTAAGTTGGCCCTGTGTTTCGGGTATCCATTTTTCAAAGATAGCCAGAAAATCAAGGATAACAGCAACAGTTGAAAATTTTTAAATCAGCCTCGTCTGAAACCTTCGCCTTCGGGTAACTGGGTTTCAGATGGCTTACAAAACTCAGTCTTTTTAAAGAACACTGGTCTTTCAGCTGAAATCAAACATCAGTAAGACCTGTTCTCCAAAGACATGAGTCCATGGACAATCCTGGGATATTGCCTTAACTGAGCCTTGTATCCCAGAGAGCCATTATCCGAAACATTGCCTTAAGTTGGCCCTGTGTTTCGGGTATCCATTTTTCAAAGATAGACAGAAAATCAAGGATAACAGCCTTTTTAAATCAGCCTCGTCTGAAACCTTCGCCTTCGGGTAACTGGGTTTCAGATGGCTTACAAAACTCAGTCTTTTTAAAGAACACTGGTCTTTCAGCTGAAATCAAACATCAGTAAGACCTGTTCTCCAAAGACATGAGTCCATGGACAATTCTGGGATATTGCCTTAACTGAGCCTTGTATCCCAGAGAGCCATTATCCGAAACATTGCCTTAAGTTGGCCCTGTGTTTCGGATATGCGTCTTCTTTAAGAACGCTGGTCTTTCAGCTGAAGTCAAATTTCAGTAAGACTTGTTCTAAAGAGGTTAGTCCCAGAAAGCTAATATCCCAAGCATTGCCTTCAGTTGGCCCTGTGTTTCGGATATCCAACTTTCAGACAATCTTCAGTAAGACTTGTATCCCAGAAGCATTGCCTTCAGTTGGCCCTGTGTTTCGGATATCCAACTTTCAGACAGTCAATCTTCAGTAAGACTTGTATCCCAGAAGCATTGCCTTAAGTTGGCCCTGTGTTTCGG